AGACCATAAGCGATACGGGCACAGATGCAAATCGATCCCTATACGGGAGATCCATAGGTATTTTTAAAAAAATATTTGAGCTTTTTTTTTTCTTTTTTCGTTTCTTTTAACAAAGGGATTTTTCTTTTTTCAATTTTTCAAGATCGATGAGCGTTGATTCTAGCTTTCCACTAATGGATTCTATAGAATCAGGTGGGTATAATTTTTAATTGGTTAAATTTTTGATATAACAATTATATCTATATTTTATTTTTATGTTGACAGATATTCCGGATTATCGTTTACAACAACATTATCCGTCGAGGGAGGAAGAAAAATACATGGTACAAATTATTCCGCCTCCACATCTTGATTTGAATACATACGGACACTTAAAAATCGATTATACGAACAGCTGGAATTCGCTGAATCGAAAAATTAGTAAATAATCATTAATAATATTCTTGTTGTCAAAGATAACATTAAGCATTTTTTTTTTATCAGATATATCTTGATTTATTTATGTTTATCGTTTAACATTAGTATGTTTATCGTTTAAGAATTTTAGAATCGAACCAAAAATTATATTTAATTATATATAATTATATAATTTAATTTACTGAAATATTACAAAAATGAATTTAACTTTAGATTAAATTAATATATTTTATATTATTTGTAATGTACGCAATAATTATTTTGTATTAATCTCGTTTTCTTCTATATTTTGAACTGATAAATTGTGTATACTTTGAACAATATCGACTGTGGTATCTTTGTCTTCATGAAACAATTTCCTTTTTTTTGTTTCAATATTTTTATTTACAATTTCCTTCTCGAAACCCATATATGTATCATTTATTTTCTCTATGTTCAATTCTGGCCATCTATAATTTATATTTTGATATAAAATTAATTAAATATCAAGTATTTGAATAAATTAAAAGAATAAATTAATAAAAAAATTGAAATAATAATTATTTTTTAAATCATAAAATTTTCCAAAAATTAATCGAAAATAATAAATTTAAAATAGTATACCTAAAGTACGAGGTATCTTTTTTATTTTTTCCCGAATTTTTGGGCCGTCCTCTTTTTTTAGGTTCATTCTAATCAAAGACAAAAGAAAATATATTTGTTTTTTAAATAAAATTACAAATTTTCTGAATCATTCTACATAATTTCAAAAATTTATTTACGGAAGTAGGGGCCAGTTTTGCGTTTTGCAGCAATATTTTGTATCTTTGTATTTCATCTGTGTGTTGTTGCTTCAGTAATGCAATATCCTCGTTATGTTTCTCTTCTTGCATTAATAACTGTACTTTTAAACATTCCACTTCGTCTTGCAATCCGCGCACTGTGTTGAAAATAATATAATTATAAAAAGTTAATATAAAATAAACAATAGATATTTTATAATTGATTAACGATACTTAATAAATAGTTAGTGATCAATCCATAATCACATAATTACCGATAAACGGTAATGTCGATGCAATGTTAAAAAAATTAATTTAAAAGAAAGAATTTCCTAAAAATAATTTTGAGGAAGAAAATTTTATCACGCCTGATTATAAATTTTTTTAAAAAAATATACATTTGCTTAACATTTATAAAATAACGAAGTATTTTACAGATACAGATTATAAATCGTAAATCGTAAAAATTAAACATTCAACTGTTCGATCGATAAGAAAGAAAGCGATATGAATAAATAAAAAATTTCTGATAACAAAATTAATAATTCTGAACTGATATGTTTCTTATCGATTCGTTTTAATATATCACGGAAAACAAAAATATTCGTTATATAATAATCCAATTAATCAAAATTTTAATGTAAGATTTATTTATATACTTTGCTCGTCGTTTGCAATACGTTCTGCATTAATGAGACGCAGATCATCGCAATCTTTTTTCAATTCCTCGATCATTTTACGAAGATCGTTCCCTTCATTCTGCAATTTCTCAACAGTGGTCTTATATCTCTTTTCGAGAAGCAAATAAGTTTTCGAAAGCTTTTCTAGATTCTCTTTCATCTTCTCATTACGCTCTTTCTCAATCGACAGTGCTTCTTCTTGTACTTCACAGTAAGTTTCCATCGCAACGTATGCCTGTTAATTTTTAATAAGATAGAAGAAAGTTAGAAAAATATAGATTTCAAATAATATTTAAAGGTAAAAGAGAAAGAATAGAATGAAAAAATTAGACGCACGTCACGAATTCTCACGAATTGTTCCAGAATTCCACGCAACTCGGAATTAAGATACTCCTCCTCCATTTTAGAATTATTTAAATTTTGCAAACCATCAACTCGAGTCAAAACAATTGTTCGTATTGAAAAATTTTGTATCAAGAGCAAAAGAAACATAAATTGATATTCGTTTAACAATTTTTTATCAATGAGAGAATGTTTCTTAATATATAGAATTAATTAAATTAAATTGAATTAAAATTATATGGGAAATATTTTGAATTTAGTATGGACACGAACCACGAGGTTTGAATATTTGTTGTATGTTATAAAAAATTCAATACTAAATTGCGAGATGAAGATAAAGTGAAATATTTTTATCTCTGTCACATCTCCAATTCAATTTGTCTCTGTCTTACTTTTCCTAACATAAAAACTTAAATTTAATAAATAAAAACCTCGATCGATATATTAATTTTTGTGTTTGTTTTCTAGAATCGATCAAAAATGATTACGAATATATTAATATTCTATGTATTTAAACGATATTATAATATATAATAAAATAATCCTAACAATATATATATATATATAAATTTAAATTTTTCTATTTATTATCATTAAAATTGTTATTAATATTACATTAGTTTAATTATTTTATATTATTTCTTACTTCGTTAAACATAATAAAAGTACATACGTATTAATAATGCGTAAAGATAACGATCGTAGCAAGTTTTTTTCCATGAAGTTATTCACGAATGTGACAACATTTTGTTTTTTCTCGTTTCACTCGCGTATCGTGGGCAAAATGACAGGAATTCCCTCGGGGTTGAAAATGCGCGATGCAATCTAAATCCACGATCACCATCAACCACGAGAACGACGCCGATGAATCGATGGAAGAGTCTGTCTTCGAGCAGATATGCGACACGATATTCGTTCTGATACCCGAAGGTTTGTTCAACTTTCAAAATTCTTTTTTTTCTTTCGTTCTTATGTCCAGAAAGGAAAAAATTGACAAATTTAAAATTACAGTGCCCCATTTATATACAGATCAAATATAAAACTTTTTCTTTTTTTATTTTAATTCCCACTTTTACAGCATATTTTATAAAGCATACAAACATAAAAATTTTGAATAAAACTTTGAAATATTTTTCGAATATCCATCGATATATATATATATATATATATATGTAAAAAGAAAAAAGAAAAAAACATAAATGGAGTTCTGTAAATAAAGAGTTTCCATCAAAGGTTTTCATAATTCCAATATCGATTATTAATTGTATTAATTTTATATCTATAACTGACGACTGTAAACTGGCCATAGATACGTATTTATGATGGGATTCTATGATAGTGCCGCGACTGAAGCAGCTGTTTCTAAGTTGGAGTCAGCTAGGCACCGAAGACAGAGTACAATTGGACGCCAAAGTGGCCAACTGGTGTTGTCCTAACAGAAGACAGCTTTATAAACCTTTGCAAGAGGCTTTGGTTCGCTGGGAGACTGTGCAGGACACTCAAGGTTATTGTATAAGCAAAAATTATACGATTATTAATTACAAATCGTAGATTTAAATCATTTTAAAATAAATTAAGATTCCACGTTGTTCTATCCCTTAATTGAAAAAAATCAAGAATAAAATTTCATTTGAATTCAACATACATACATATATATATATGTGTATTATCGATTCGAGACACGAAGCATCGATATATAATTTATTCATGAATTCAATAGGTGCTCCCGGTTGCGAGCCAGGTATGGTCTCCTTTTCCTGCGATCCTCAGTTGGAGGAGGAATTGGTCAGCGTCATTTATAGCCTAGAACTGTTATTCACGAAAAATCGAAAAGGTAGAGAGATCGACATGGACTACGAGGTCGGTCGTTGCACAGAGCTCAGGAGAGAGATGTCTTTGAACCTGAACTACGACGGGACTCTGCGCTCGATTTTGAGCCCCAAAGATAAAACACCTCATTCCGTGCACAGTTGCAGTTACATCGCCGATTTCAAACGATCTGACGAGGATCTAAGCGGTTACCTGACCAATTAAGAATCGATGACGATTGAACATTTTTTTTTTATCCCAATTTTCGACTTTGCTAATGAATTTTTTTTGGAAAAATTCTGCAAATATAAAACGATAGATTGTTTCCCCCTCTATTGGAAATTTTGTTCAGTTTATCCTGGATGAATTTTCTTTACGACAATAGAAACGAAGTGACAGTCGATAGTTGTTAGGGAATTAGGAAGAGTATAATTAGAGTAATCTTGAGAGAAAAATAGAAATATTATTTTGTAAAGAGATACGTACTCTTACGATGAAATTCTAAGAAATAATCGGAATAGTTAGTAAGAGATAATTTTTTTTTTTTTTTTTTTTTTTCTAAAAATAGGTACCTTCTTTTTTTTATCACCCAAATATACCTGTTTGCGTCCTCATCATTGGTATATGAAATACGTCTGATCCATTTAAGAAAAAAAATTATAACATGTTGTTTGCATTTTTTTCTTTTCAGAAAACTTATATTATTGTAATAAATAAACGAAATAAGAATTAAAAAATATATATAAGACAGAGAAGATTGTGATTACACAAAAATTAGTGACATAAAATATTTTATTAATCATCAGTTATAGAGTCAAGGTGTACGAGCATACATTCAAATAATACAGGTCAATCATTTTACAACGAAAGTTTCAAACAAATACGCAACAAAAGGTGTCCGGATCATAAATGTATCAACTCGATTCGCCGCATCATTTAATCATCATTTACCTCGTATTTATCCTTCTTTATATTCTTTGTTTTATTTCTTTTTTTTTTTTTTTTTTTTTTTTTTTTTTTTTTTTTTTTTTTTTTTTTTTTTTTTTTTCATTTCTTTTTTTTTTTTTTTCTTCTCTAATATAATTATTACACAGCAATAATAGGTTCAGGATGATGAACACTGCTCCTTACGAGAGAAAGGTAGACGTTATACAATACGTGTACATGAATTAACCGCGCTTCACGAGAGCAAGGAACACCCCTCAAGACGTGTGCAGAGACATCCATACTTAGAAAGATTGCCCGCAGAAACGTTTATCCGTATATAAAATATATTATGAACACGCATAAAAATCTGTCTAAAGTGTTGTATACATACATATATACGATCGGTCAATTGTAGAATTGTGATCTCTTCAGTCACCAATAAAAATTCATTTTCACCCTATGAGTCTTATGAGCTAATATACAACACGTTTCACGGGGGAAAAAAGGATCCACAAAAATTTTTATACACGGACACGTCTGTAAACAATGTCTCTAAGCCAGTACACGCCTTCGCAATCTCTCATTTCTTCGAACTCTATAAAGTGTGTTCGGACTACTTCAATGCAGCTTTGCAACAAGCAATCCGACGGGAACGTAGCTCTTTTTTTTTCTTCTTTTTTTTTTTTTTTTTTTTTTTTTTTTTTTTTTTTTT